GGGATGGATCAAGGCCGTCAACTCCGAGGAGGCACGCGTGAGTAGAGTGTGCAAAGAGGTGGAGCTATGCTTGCAAGGATGGAAGGGCAAGGCCGACTTCCAAGTTGCGGAGATGGACGACCATGACATGGTGCTGGGGCTGGAGTTCATGGACAGGAACAACGTCGCGCCACTACCATGCCTTGGTGCGTTGATGATACTTGGAGGCGAGGAAGGCAAGGCCGCATGCATGGTGCCGCTCGTGGGCAGGAAGGAGAGTCCAGAGGTGGCAGTCAACACGATGGAGCTCGTGAGGACTTCACATCTCCCGAAGGGCGCTCGTACGTTTGGGCCAAGGACATATGCGCAAGTGCTGATGACCTGCGAGAGGCTGGGTCAGTTGAAGAAACCGTGACGAGGGCGTCACGGAAATGGGTGGGGGAGAATGTCACGCCCCGCCTATGGAGGTTGTACCACGCAGGTGACACGCAGACGCTAAGGAGGACGCTGCATGGCAACTGCATGGCAAGTGGAGTTTCTAGAGTCTTCCGGAGTAGTCTAGAGTTGTGTGGAAGATTCTAGATATGTGTAGTATATTCTAGAAGTGTGTGGAAGGTTCTAGAATTCTCCAGAATTGTGTGGAGTAGTATGGAGGGTTCTAGAATGTTGTAGATATGTATGGAGATGTGTAGAAGGTGGAAGAAGATTCTAGATAATCAATCTCCACCGTTGGTTAGAATGCATCCTAGCCATCCATTAGGGATGGGGATGCCTATAAATAGGAGTAGGACTTCATTTTGCAAACAACAAGTCCTAGAGTGAGTCTTGAGAGCCTTGTAGAGAGCTTGAATGTTAGCCTTGTACAAAGCATTCTTTGAAGTAATAGAAGTGTTCTTTCCTTGCCAACTTAAGTGCCTTAGTGTGTGTGAGTGTGCAAGCCAAGTGAGGAGAGGGCAAGGGCAACTACAACACTAGTAAGCGCACGAGGGGAGTGTGTTGGCTAAGGTGTGCACGGGAGTTAGGCTGACCAAGTACTTGCGAGAGTGAAAGCAACGTCTTGGTGCCGCACGGGAGCAGCTAGAGTGGTGCTGAAACTCTAAGCCCGTGACACTATGTTATAATTTGTGGCAGTCGGATGAATTTTTTATAGTCAATAAAATAAACAAAATAATGAAATAAAAAATCTTTAATTTGTTTCAAATTGTTGTACTCTCATTGGTTTCTAAACTACGGGAGAAAATCATTTCTCTCCTCCCGTCATATGAAACTTACATAAATCAATAGTTACATTTATCAAATTCATATACCATAAAAAATGGCAACAAATCAAGTAGATTCGGTTCGAAACTCTCAATCCAATAAATTCAATGTGATTAGAAGCATTTTTAACAAAAGAGATGGTGATTTAATTCTTAAAATTCCCCTTCGAGAACAGGGAGGAATTGACAGTAAAATCTTAAAAAGATTACAAGTATCTTTTATTGATCCTAGTAATAGTACCACTAATGCATTTAATGATGCGTGGAAGGATATTTGGAAAATCAAAACCAAAGAAAAGATTAAGTTCTTCATATGGTAGTGTTGTTTGGAGCGACTTCCAGTTTTGAAGAACCTCCAGTCTAAAGAGATTGTTTTTGATGCGATTTGTCGTGTCTGTGAGATGAAAGAAGAGACAATTTCTCATATGCTTTGCAAATGCCCCATTGCGCAGGTGGTATGGAAAAGCAGTCCTCTTAGGTTGACTTTTCCAAACTCTAGTTCTTGTTCATGGCAACACAACTGGCTATATCTTCTGAACTTATGGCATGATCATCAGGCCTTGGAAAATTGTCTAAGGCTATGTTTGGTACGGTGGGTTTGAAGGGAAATGATAACATTAGTTATGAAGAAAATGGAAGGAAAGGGAAGGGAAGGATAATTTTAACCTCCTATTGTGTTTGGTTGATTAATGAAGGAAAAGAAAGGAAAGGATAATAATCATTTTTGGGAAAAGAAAGGAAAGGGAATTATTTTAATAAATTGACTATTACACCCTTTATATTTAATAAATAAATAAATAAATATATATATATATATATATATATATAGTCTCCTATACTTGATGGGCCACAAGAAAAGCAAAAAAAAAATTAGGGCAACTCATTTCAGCCTCCCCAATCTCGCCTTCATCTCTATTCTCGTTCTCAACTCTGAACTTGCCCTCTCTCTCTCTCTCTGCACTACAAGAATCAAAAGTTCAAAACCCATATATTTCAGTTTATCTATCTGTCTGCAAGAATCAAAAATTCAAAACCCGTATCGCTATATCATTTCAGATTGTTCAGAAAATCAAAACCCATATCTTTCAGTTTCCATCGCCGCTGTTCCAGTTTGGGTTCGCCATTCGCAAGCTTCAGTCGTTGGCCCGTCGTCTCTCATTCTCTCTGCAGTTGCTAACTTGTATGTATATTGTTTTACAAACTTGTGTAATTTTGAAGGTAAAATTAACATTACAACTCCTCCATCAGTCATTGCCTTCCCTTTCCTTTCATTTCCTCCCATTTTTGTGAGGATAAGCAAATTACCATACAAAGTTATACATAACCCTCCAAACCCTTTCCTCTCATTTCCTTTCCTTCCACCTATTTTACCCAAACACAATTTTTTAATCACCCTCCATCACATTCCCTTCCCTTTCCTCCCATTTCCACTCTACCAAACTGAGCCTAAGTCTTGTCTCATTTATCATGTGGCAGTTATGGAAAGGAAGAAATGATTAACACTTCAATAGCAAGAAATGGTCTCCCCATGAAATCATTAATCGAGCTTTATTCAACTTCCATGAGTTCTAGGCAGTTCACCATCAAGATGCTTCCATTCATAGTCCCCAATCTTTCTTGTATCCCCGACCATCTTTTTGGCAAGCCCCTATATTGGGTAGATCAAAGCTAAACATCGATGCCACTTTCAATTCCATCTCCCATCTCGCGGGGGGTGGCGCCATTCTCAGGGATGACAAAGGGAGACCGGTTCGCTGTGCCTCTGTGTTTTTTTTAAGAACGTGGGATCGCCTGCAGTGGCAGAAGCTCTCACTTTAAGGGAAAGTCTAAACTTCTATCTTCGTGGGGCCACACAAATGTTGATATTGAAGGCGATAATCAGCGCATTATGCAGCTCCATTCGGTAGATAGATTTTCCTCTGTTATTGTAAAGGATATTACTTGTATGATTCATCATTTGCACTCTTGGAAGTTTCTTTGGACTCCTAGAATTTGCAACAGAGTTGCTCACTCCTTTGGCAAATGGGCTCTCAGGTCTAAGTGTAGTGATCTTCAATGGGTTGTTTGGCCTCCTGGATTGATCCAAGCCATTAAGGCTGATCTCTAGTTTCTAGTCTGTATTTTTTTTTGTAGCCTGAAAAAAAAAAAAAAAAAAAAAGGTGATCCCCATTTGACTGGGATCATATGACATGGTGTTGTGCAAATCACACTCAAAATGTGTTAGTTTTATCAAATTGTATTGAGTTACGAGCTCGGTTATGGTACATCATAGCATAGAGGATCTCAATTCCTCAAGTTAGACTTAGTTTTTCTTTTTTTTTTTTCTTTTTTTTGTTTTTTTTTCCTTGAAGTTAGACTTGGTTCACTTGTTCTTGTTTTGGTACTTATTTTACTTATTAAGAACTTTACTAACTATTGATATTTCATCTACTTTGCAAACTAAATATTGAGGGTTCGAATTTTTAAATAGGAAAAGTGAATGTGTGAATTATGCTTGTATGTTTCTTACAATTTTTTTTTTTTTTTTTTTTTTAAAAAAAAAAAAACCCTTATTTTACCTCCATGATTATCATTTTTATAAAGTCTAAATTGATTAACGTCTACATGGTTGTGGAATTGGTAGGAATTTGTTTTGGAGTATTCAGCTGAGACCAAAGAAACAATCAGATAGATTTTCCTCTTACTATAAATTTCATTGTTGTCGGTATTGACATGTAGAATGGGAATCTATCTTTATTCTGGTTCGTTCAAAAGATATACCAAACTACGGAGTGAATGATTTGATGAATGAATATTTGATTTTCTCTTCAATTTGAAACCGATTCACAACAATTCTTTAATTTTTCATATAAAAAAATAAAGATTCGTGTCGTCAATAATCATTTGATATAATATTTCAATACGTATACGTATGTATACAGTTTTATCCTTCATCCTTTCTGAAGTTCCGATGAAAAAAGATTCTTCTAACAACACAACTTAATCAACTCCACGTGTTAGAACAGGTTCCATTGATAGGGATGGCAACGGGGGCAGTGTTGGGTGGGTGTACCCTTCCCCGCCCCCGCCCCCGCCCCTGCCCCTGCCCCTGCCCCCGCAACCATTTAGAAATCCCACCCCGCCCAAAACCTTCTAAACGGGGGCCTTTCCACCCCATTTTACTTTTTCATCCCTGTAGACACCCGCCACACCCCGTTTAGTTCTAAAATTTCTTCTCATTTTTTTTTTTTTAATTTTTTCCCTCAAATACAGTTATATAACTATTGAAAAAATTCATAAAAAATGGACAATCAATAATTTAATATAAAATTCAAGAGTATGCGTTTATAGTTTGTAGGGTTCTGCCACTCTCTAGAACGGGCTAAGAAAGTGAGTGAATGTTACATAGGGTTTCTAAAACTAACTATATATACTAATAAAATAAGGGCAATTTAAAAAAATTACCTACTTAAACGGACGGGGTGACCTTTCCTGCCCCTGCCTCAAACCCGTGTTGACTTTCATTAATAAAAATCATCCCCACCCAAATAAGCTAAACGGTCCCCCAAAACTGCTATTAACGGGGCGGGTACCCGTCCCCGCAGGGAAAATTGCCATCTCTATCCCTTGAGTCTCTCCACCTATCCTTGTTTTTTTTAATGAGGCTTTGATGTTATTGGTGAAAGTTGTGAAATACATTTGATGATGATCCCACATCGGAAACTTACAAAAGCAAGACTCTGTGGAACTTCTATATAATAGGTTGAAAGCTAATTGTACAACATACTTACCTGGACGGGGTCAATGGGTGATCAAAAAGGCTCATGGTTTAGGTTGGTGACCTCCATTGCACTCAGGAGGGGTGCCCACCTAAGGTAGGTCTACTCAAGTAGTGAACCTGTGTCATAATTTGTGGTAGTGGGGGCCTGCGTTTGCGCAGCCCTTGCCCGTATCATCCAAAGTTTTTGCTTGGCCCAAAGTATGTTTTTGGGCCCATAGTTTTTGCTTTTGTCTATAGTTTTTTATGATTTTGTTTTTTAAGTTTTGAAAGTCGAAAAAATACACTCTACCTCCACATAATATTTAGTATCTTACACATTCCCATTGTTATGAGACAATGAGCTCAGAACATTTTAGTAGCTTACACATTTCCAATGTCATGATACAATATGGTGGAAACAATGAAAATCAGGATTCGAATTGAGAGAGATCAAGAATTCTCACTATTTCTTAAATTCATGGACCCAATTTAATTCAGTGGGATCTTTTCATTCATATTGGTGAAAAACGTTTTATAAAACTCTTTTGACCCCTAAATTTAGAGTATCCTACTTTCACGCAAATCACCACAATTGATATTTCACGATCAAGGGTGTAACATTAAAAAAAGTGATTGATTAGGGTCTGTCTTGGTTGTGGATTTGGTAGGCAAAACGGTGGATATAAGATGTGGACTAAAAGTAGAACAGTATGAATACATGGCTCCTTATACAACATCTTATTTAGCACAATAATCTTTTATTCTTTTCTTTCTCCTATAATTTAATTAAAAAGAAAAGAGTACTAGACCTTGGATTATCATTTTTATAATTTTGTGTAATCGAGGATTAGTTTTGATCTCGCGTCTAAGTGGGAATTTTTACGAAGGATTTATCAATCCATTGGCCTTGGCAGCTCTTGTCTAACTACTTTTTCATCTTCTTTTTAAATATTTATTATGGCATCTCGTGGTAATAATCACCAGAAAGAAGTGGATTAAGTAAGGGAGTATTCAACTGAAACCATTTGCTACTCATAACCAGAGCAGCAATACAGAGAGAGAAGCAAGCAAGCGAGGCCTTTGATGTTAATGGTAAAAGTTCTTTTGAAGCTGGGATTGGGGTTGGGGTTAGGGTTGGGGTTGTGAAATGCATTTTATGATCCCACATTGGAAACGAACAAAAAGGAGACAACAGTGGAATGTCTGCATAAAGCATGGAAGGCAAACGGAGTAACATACTTACCTGGACGGGATCAATGGGTGATCAAAAAGGCCTATGGTCTAGGTTGGTGACCTCCATTGCACTTAGGAGGGGTGCCCGCCTAAGGTCTACCCAAGTGGTGGAGCCTACGTCATAATTTGTGGTAGTGGGGGCCTGTGTTCGCGCGGCCCCTGCCCAATATATGTTTCAAATTATTTTCGAAGGTATCTTTTGGCCCATAGCTTTGTTATAGGAGACTTCAAAGTGCCCAATATATGTTTCAAATTATTTTCGAAGGTATCTTTTGGCCCATAGCTTTGTTATGGGAGACTTCAAAGTCCAAAACCTACGCGAAATTTGTAATTTTATAAACATAACTTTTGAGAAAGAGAGGGATAAGAAATATTAGGAATGCGAACGAGTTAAAAAAATAATGAAATTTCTATTCAAAGATTCAGTGATAGTTAAAATGAAGACTCTTAATTATTTCAAAAGTGATCTTAAAATTTAAGTTGTCAACACAATATTCAGTAGCTTTACAAAGAGACGTGATGCACTTTCCCATTATTATGATATAAGTAATTGATAACTCCTTATTTTGCACCAGAATCCTTTATTATTTTTTTATTCTTTCTAGAATTTAATATTTCTAAAATGTAATAAAAATAAGAGTATTGCTTGATCAAGTGATCAATCATAAAACTCGATTTTGGAACTCGTAAATTCTAAACATTCACAATCTCTTACAAACCACATTATATCATTTAGTAAACTACAACTAAACTTGATACTTCAAAATAGTTCAATCAATTCTCAAGACTTACCACTTTGTGCAAATAATCTTTAAAGGTTAAAGACTATCTAATCCATCCATCTCAACATCTTCAATTAACAGTGAGGGGCCAATTTTAAATGACGCCATTCTGAGAAGTTTGAATTGATTAGGGTTTACTTGGTTGTGGAATTGGTGGGGACAAAGGTGGATTTACTTGCACACACACGTAACCCTAAACATATGTGGACTTCTGTGCGAATGCTTTGCAATCGGACCAAAAAGTTTAAACAAAATTTAAGCTATTAGGTGGGACTAACACCCAACCCATTTCACTACTCATCTGGATTCGATGTGGCACAAACCTAAAGTTTAAGCTATTACCTGGGTGGGGGATCCGAACGCCTCCAGACTTGTTGCTTGGCTTGACACCGAATCAAGGTTTGGCTATGATACCAATTATAACAGGCGGATACTTCACGATTCGACCCAAAAACTTAAATTATTAGGTGAGGCTAACACCCAACACATATATACCCATTTCACTTCCCATCCGGATCCGATAGCGGATAAACGTCTAATAGTTTTTCTCACAAGTTACACAACTTAAACATTGTGGAGTAACCAGGAATTATCAGTTTTATAATTTTGTGTAACCAAGGATTAATTTTGATCCCACATCTAAGTGGGAATTTGTATGAAGGATTTATCAATCAATCCATTGGCCTAAGCAGTTATTTTCTAACAATGAAGGGATAAAGTAAAGGGAGAATTCAGTAGAAAGCCTGAAACCAAAGAAGCAAATGAGGCTTTTATGTCATTGGTGAAGTTGTGGGTTGTGAAATGCATTTGCTGATCCCACATCGGAAACTTACAAAAGCAAGACTCTCTGGAACATGTATATAAACCATCAAAAACTAATGTTGCAACATACTTACCTAGACGGGGTCAATGGGTGATCAAGAAGGCCCATGGCCTAGGTTGGTGACCTCTATTGCACTAAAGAGTGGTGCTTGTCTAAGGTCTATCCAAGTGGTGGAGCCTACGTCATAATTTGTTGCAGTGGGGACCTGCGTTCGCGCGGCCCGTACCCAATGTATTATTCAAAGTTTTTGCAACTTTTTAAATCTGAACTATTGGAGAAAATCGTTCTCCTCACATCGTATGAAACTTACAGATATCAATAGTATTTATTTCTAGAATATACTAGAATATATATATTTATGAAGATGCAAGAAATTTCTTCTCCTCTTTCTCTCTCTAGAATTCTTACACCTCAACCCAAAAGATCCCTCTCCATTTCATTCCATCTCCTATTTATAGATATTTACAAGATATTTACAAGATATTTACTAATTGCTGGATCTGGGCCTATTCCTTCGTAAGCCTTGGTCACCTTTGATGGGCTTACTCTCGTTCGGCCCATATGGCAGTGTCCTTCTATGGGCTGGCCCAGCTGTACGGACTGAATGCTATGTTTGCGAGTCGGATCTGGCCCATGTCATCCGGGGCCTCCTCAACTGCCCCCATAATTGCCCCTTATTTAATAAGGGGTAATTATTGATGGTGTCTCATCATGATGTTGACGGCTCGAGATAACCACGTGGGGGAGCGGACGGTCAAATCCAGAATCAATGTTCCGGGGCTCGAGGGATTTCTCGCCTTCCCGACGCTTCGGCCCTCGGGCCCCCTCGCCTTTATAATGCTCTAGAATTCCACTTCGCTTCCCTTTACCGTCTCCATCATCAGCCAAGTCTCTCTCTTTTCTAGTACAGTGCTAAGCTTTCTCTGGTGAAATCCTTCAAGAGTCATTCTTCCAGCGATCTTGCAGTCCTCCGAGGTTAGTTTCGTTCTTTTTACTTTCGGCAGGCTTCCATTTACCCTCTTGTAGATTCTTCTAGCACTTCCACCATGGTTGTAGATCTGGATGTTCTTCGTATGAGACTTAGACTTCCTGACAACATCGAAGTTAGGGTTTGCCCCCAAGACGTTAACATTACGACCGGCGCCGGCCTCCTGCCCGGCGAAGTCTTATTCACGAACCTTCAATTGAATGTTGTTAGGTTCCCTCTGCACCCTTTCTTTAGTTATGTCTTCAATAGATTGGGGATATCCCCTCTGCAGGTCAACCCCAACTTCTTTAGAATCATATCTGTTATGCTCTTGTTGATGCGTGACAGAAATCTGGACCTCGACCTCATAGACCTCCTTCTGTGCTATAAGGTGAGTAAGATCCGTATTAACGAGCCCTTCTACCACCTCTACCCGTTCGAGAAGATGTCCATATGTACTGACACAATAAAATCTGAAAAGGGTTGGAGGGATAGCATAGTGGGCATTAGTGGGGCTTGGTCTTCGCCGGCTGCAGAGGGTTACCCAATCCCGAGCGCCTTTGGTGTCTGCTCTGTCTCCTCCTATAAAAAATTCAAATCCCATAAACATGACTGCCCCTGTGAAACATGCGTTCCTCGTTTTTGCACTTACTTATGCCGCTCCTTGGGAATACCTTGTGATGACTTGAGCTATAGTGTTTGCAGGGATAGGAGTAACTACTTGAAGAGATACGTTCTGAACGATATTCCTTCCTACTCAGATCTCCTCACTTCAGACAACCTCTTAGCGCTCTCATCACTCGGCTACAACATGAGCAGACTTCAGATTCCCTCTTTTGGCAGGAGGAAAAATACTCCCCCAGCCACTCCTGCTGCTGGGGCGACCTCCTCTCCAGCGTCAGCTTCTTCTTCAGCCACTATATCTGACACTGTCCCGAACGCAGTGGCTACTAACCCTGTTGCCAGCGCCCCTGCTGCCAACCAGAACGCGCCCTCCCCAGCTACCATAGCTCCTGCTGCTGCGGGGGGCGGTCGGGACAAAGAACGAGGCAAAAGGCCTCATCCTGACAGTGAAATCGATCCTGAGGAGGAGCCTCTCATTAGAAGGACCCGGGTCTTTGGGCCGGGTACTCTCTTGCACCGAGCGATCAGAGCTCCTTCTCCCTCTGGGCCTCCTGCAGCTGGTGGCTCTGCTTCTGCTTCAGGCCCCCCTTCTATCCCCAGCTTACCGCCATGGGCCCCTCGGTACACCCGAACGGATGGGACGTTCGTGAAACCGAACGAGACCATGCTGAAGGATGGCCAGACCGCTATGGCCTACTACAGGAGCATGTGGACTCCGAAGGACCTTGAGGCGGCAAAGGGCCTTTCCCAGAAGGACGTGTTCAGTCGCTTTCCCCAATCTGCTATGGAGGTGACTTTTATTTTCTAACTCATAAATTCTCTCATATTACTTGGTCTTGCCTTCGCCCGTTCTGACTATTGGTTTAACCGTTTTTAATGTGCACCTATGCAGACATTGTTCGGGATGATGGCCATGCAGAAGCAGGTGGAGATGGGGAACGCCAGGGCCCGTAAGTATTCTGACAGCCTGGAGGTGGCTAATAAAGAAAACGACCTCCTTGCCATGAAGAATACCGAGGTGCTGGTTCGGCTTGACAAAACCGAGCAAGAGAGAGATGTCCTGAAGAAGGAGAATGATTCCCTTCAGGATGAGAAGGACGCCCTCCAGCTTGAGAAGAGCGTCTGGCAGACCGAGCGGGAATCAATTAGAGAAGAGAAGGCAGAACTCCAGCGCCTTCTAGCTGATGAACAATCTGCTCGGATGGCCTTTGAAAGAAGAGCTCTGGACGAGCGTACCGCTCTGATCGACGCGATCAGCAGAGTGGGTGGTGGGATGCTGGCCCTTCACGCCCGGTTCTCAAGGGTCGGTGCTCTTAGGTATGCTCAAGGATTTCGGGAAGGTTTCGCCGACCGGGTTCCGGATGAGGGACAGACCAGCTCCACTCCGGATGAGGTAGACAAGGATCTGGGGATCGAACCTCTGGGGGTCTATGTCGACCCAGAACCTACCGAAGCGGAGCGTATATTTGATGAGTGCCAGGACATCGCATCCTCAAGGATCATCACAGCTCCTCCTACCGCTCTGCCACTGACCGCTCCCCAATCGTCAACCGTGGTTCCTTCTGTAGCCACTGCTGACGCTGAGCCCCAGCCGAACGATTCAGTCATTCACCTTGATTCCCCACCTCATGAAGGTGAGGCGGCTGATGGGGCCGAGGAGGCGAGTCGGCACGACCAGGATGCTGTTGGTACTGAGGCGTCTAGCTAGGGCTCCTTCGAATTCTTCTATTTCATATCTTCTTGTAATGATGGACATCTCTCTTTTGTAAACTCAATGTTCAATATTAATGAAATGACAGAACTCTTTTTCCCTATGTGTTGTGCTCTATTCAACTTATCTTCAGTACATACATATCTTTTCTCTTTTTTTCTTTTATATTAGCTTTGCCGTGTGTTTGTTTACGGCAAGTGCCTGGCGCTCGGCTAGGATGCCACTTGCCACTTGGCTTTAAGCTTTTAGCAAGTGTCTGGCGTTCGGCTTATAGTGCCAGCTGCCACTTATCTTGCTCAAGTGCCTGGCGTTCGGCTAGAATGCCACTTGCCACTTGGCTTTAAATTTTTAGCAAGTGTCTGGCGTTCGGCTTATAGTGCCAGCTGCCACTTATCTTGCTTAAGTGCCTGGCGCTCGGCTAGAATGCCACTTGCCACTTGGCTTTAAATTTTTAGCAAGTGTCTGGCGTTCGGCTTATAGTGCCAGCTGCCACTTATCTTGCTTAAGTGCCTGGCGCTCGGCTAGAATGCCACTTGCCACTTGGCTTTAAATTTTTAGCAAGTGTCTGGCGTTCGGCTTATAGTGCCAGCTGCCACTTATCTTGCTTAAGTGCCTGGCGCTCGGCTAGAATGCCACTTGCCACTTGGCTTTAAATTTTTAGCAAGTGTCTGGCGTTCGGCTTATAGTGCCAGCTGCCACTTATCTTGCTTAAGTGCCTGGCGCTCGGCTAGAATGCCACTTGCCACTTGGCTTTAAATTTTTAGCAAGTGTCTGGCGTTCGGCTTATAGTGCCAGCTGCCACTTATCTTGCTTAAGTGCCTGGCGCTCGGCTAGAATGCCACTTGCCACTTGGCTTTAAATTTTTAGCAAGTGTCTGGCGTTCGGCTTATAGTGCCAGCTGCCACTTATCTTGCTTAAGTGCCTGGCGCTCGGCTAGAATGCCACTTGCCACTTGGCTTTAAATTTTTATAGTAGACCGTTGGAAAAGAAAATTCTTTTTTGTAAATTCCAGTAACTTGCTCATTCATACGTATTTGATTGACAACAAATAACATCCAATTAAAGCCAGAACTTAGCTTTTATTGGTAGTACCTCTTCAGAGACGTGGCGTTCCAGGGCTTGCTGACCAACCTTCCCGCCATGGTTTCCAACGTATATGCCCCCTTGCCAATGACTTCTGCAATTCTGTATGGGCCTTCCCAGGGTGGCATCATTTTTTTGACCATCCCCACCTTTCTTTTCAGAACCAGATCGCCAGGGGCAAAATCCCTGTGTTTTACTCTCTTGTTGTGACTATTCGCCAGCACTTGCTGATACGATGCTAGCCTTATAGCCGCTGCGTCTCTCCTTTCGTCTATCATGTCGAGGTTCAATCTTAACATCTTGTCGTTCTGATCCCGACTCCATGCTAAGCTTCTGATAGTGGGGACTAAATGCTCAACCGGTATAACTGCTTCGGTACCATATGCCATTGCGAACGGGCTCTCCCCAGTCGGCCGCCTTGGGGTGGTTCTGTAAGCCCATAGAAAGTTCAGGAGTTCATCCAACCACTTCCCCTTATGATCTTCCAGCTTCTTCTTAATGCAGGCGAAAATGGTTCTGTTTGTGATTTTTGCTTGTCCGTTGGCCTGAGGATGACTTACTGCAGCCAACTTCTGGTTGATTCCATACTCCTCCAGCAGCTTTCTTACTTGCCTGCTGTCGAGGTTTGTGCCATTGTCCATGACTACTGATCTGGGAACACCGAAACGGCAGATAATGTTGTTCCAAATAAATCGTCTCACCTGAGTCTGAGTCACGCTAGGATACGGTTCTGCCTCCACCCATTTAGTGAAATAATCCGTGGCCAGTAACACATACTTGTTCTGAGCTCTTGCAGTTGGCAGAGGACCGACCACATCCATCCCCCATTGCGCGAAAGGCC